GTTGCATTTCAACCTACCAAACGGCCAAATATCCCGATTCGCCAAGTCATGTTGATTGGTAAGTCTTCGCTTGGCACCGATTACGTCCTGTTTGTAACTCTTCATGCACGTTCCCGACGTCCTCCTTCTGGATTCGTCCTCTTGGCTTCTCACCTACTCAACGACTGGCAAAGAGCGAGAATGTATGAAAGCAAAGTCCGGGGTGATTGTGCTGACATACAGGTATGCAGCACAGATTATAAATGCAACGGGACTCTGGAAGCTGGCGGATGGATGGGAGGCTGCCTGATTGTCCGTCCCACTGCATATAAGTATCAACGGAGGGCACATGCATCTTCAATAGGACCACCAACCGCTTCTGTATCTTGGCCCCATTTGTCTCTTGTCTCATCGTACCGCCTCACGCACCTGGGCAGCATCAATCCAACATCATGTCCACCAAACCCGTCGCCCTCATTCTCGGCGCAGGCCCCAATGTAGGCTTAGCCATAAGCACCTCATTCACCATCCTGAACTACCGCGTTGCAACTGCCTCCCGATCCGGCACGAACAGCATCAACCCCGACACGGGCATCCTCACCCTGAAAGCCGATTTCACGGCGCCAACATCCATTCCCAACCTCTTCTCGCTCGTGCTAAAAGAGTACGGCACATCGCCCAACGTTGTGGTCTGGAACGCTGCCGCGCTGACGCCTCCCCCTGTGGAAGAGAGCGTGCTATCCATATCCCAGGAACAATTTGCCAAAGACCTGAATGTCAATACCGTGAGTCCGTATGTGGCAGCGCAGGAAGCGGTCAAGAGCTGGGAAAGCATGGGGGAGGAGCATGCAGGGGATAAGAAGACGTTTATCTACACTGGCAATACGCTGAATCAGACCATTGCGCCTGTCCCGCTGTTCTTGACACTGGGTGTGGGAAAGAGCGCGAGTGCGCATTGGGTTGGCATGGCAGATGCTTTGTACAAGGAGAAGGGGTATCGGTGAGTTGTTTTTTTCCCTCTACGCAACACTTCTCTTGCTGTCAACGTGTGGGTTGGACATGGGATGTTCTGCTAATATCGGGTTATAGGTTCTTCTATGCAGACCAACGACAGCATGGTAAGAAAATGACTGTACAAACCGCATATGAGAGATACACTAACTTCATAACTTTACATTTGCAGATGGTGCACCCATGCTAAACGGTGTAGATGGCCCTGCGCACGGCGCATTCTATGCGCAGTTGGTGCAGCAAGAAAGGGATGTACCGTGGTTAGCTACGTTTGTCAAGGACAAGGGCTATGTCAAGTTTTAGACGTGTCAGGATCGCGACTTTGCTTGAGAGGTGGAGCTATGGAAAGATTACATGCACGGGTCATTTCTATAGATGAATTTGATTAATGTCAGCATGGCCTATATACAGACGACCCGCTGCCGTCGACTACGACTGCTAGCCCAACGCAAACGCTCTCGTTATATGCCGTACAAAGTAAAATGGGTATATCCTCCTTCCGGCTTATGACACCAGTGCAAACGCTAAAAAGAAAAGTAGTGGTCCCTCTAAGCCGAGTGTAGGCTCGGTTGACGCCCAGTGATGCAGCAAGACATAAGAGAGTATGTGTAGATGTAATGTATGATGGATGCTCAGATCATCAAGCCGGCACCAATTGTGACGGCGCTCAGGCCTGTCTCGCGACTGTCCTCGCTCGTTCGTCGCTTTCCTAACGTCTTCAGTTGACGCGCGGTATCCATCTTTGTTTGCGACATGCCAGACGGCGATGGTGGGCCTGATGGGCCTGTAGCATCGCTGTTTGACTTGGAGCGCATAGGGCCTAGGTCTTCGCCGAAAGTGATTGACGTGATGGAATCATCACTGACACCACGAATAGGCGAGCTGGGTCTCTCTGATGAGGCAGCAGCGGATTCAGTTTTGTCTGCGGTGGCTGTTGGTGAGCTGTGGATCGTTGTAAGCCTTGCAGAGCGTTTGGACCTCGCGAAACCATGTACGTCGTAACGGGGTGGGTGCGGGGTATAGTCGACGAGCATGTGCGCCTTGACGCTAATGCGGAAGCGTTGGCCTTTTCCAAAGACTACGTCGCTGACACGTGGAGAAGAAGCAAGCAACACTGGAGCGCAACGGCGGCGGTAACGCAGGGTCTGCGCAGGGCAAGGTCGGATCGCGGGTGCCGATTTGGAATCTGACGATGAGTCACTCTCAGGACGCTCGTCATCACCTTGCTCGTAGTCGTGTGAAGAGATGGGTGCTAGCGATTCTCTCGCATGCCGCGTCGGGAAACGAACGTCTTCGGGGTCGAAGTCGTCGAATTCTAGGTCTGGCGCAGGTGCTGCGTGGCTGATGCCCGAGTCGCGGGTGCCAGCCAGATGTGGGTAAAGTTGGCGGATAATTTGCTCCTGTTGTGCAACGATGCGTCGGCCGGCTTCTAGACTTGTCAGACTCTCGAGGTTTTCTCCGAACTGCGCGTTGTCCAAAATGCGTTGACGCCTGCCCCTTCGAGGAAGACTTCTGTAGCGGGGCTCGCTGCGATCTTCTAGGGGTGCACTGATGTCGATGGCGGCGCAAAACAATTCCACCCAGTCGAGCATGCCTTGCTCGGTCGACGGACAGAGCAAGAACTGCTCAAACTCCAGGCGCAGGCGGATGGCATGTTCCCGTACAGGCTCGAAAAGCTGTGGATCCGTTTCGTACAGTTTAGGCCGAGCGACAGCGGGCACCAGGTGGGCGAAAGGAGACTTTGGTATCAGCAACGTCTTCTTGAAATCAGATGCCACGCCAACTTCAGCATGCTGCAAGGAATAGGTTCGCAACAAGCGACCTGGGCATGGCTCTTTGTTCTTGCTGAGGAGACGCGGGTACTTTATGCGGTGTATGCTCAACTGCGTGCCTCGAAGTATGGCGTAGACATCATGCCATTCTCGATGTCCCGAGACCTGGAATGGCGAGGATAGTTCCTGCTTGATGCCAACAAGTCCTTCCATCTCGACGGTGCAGGTGTAGGGCGGGGGTGACTGGATACTGCGCACCGCCTCTTTCTCTCTCCTTGTCCTTTCGTCTAGAACGCGACGGGTCTGAGGATCGGTTGCGCGAGCATACGAGGGCGGCGACCCGATGGGCAGTTGGGCGTGGGTGTGGTAGGTGTTGTGGTATCCATATGTTGACGTGGCCGGCGAAGGGTTTGTCGAGCGAGGCCGTGGTGCACGTGTTTGCGCCATGGCTTCAGTGGTCGAGTCTATGGAGCAGGGCGGTGCGTTGAAGAGTAGATGGCTGCAAGGCTGCAGGGCTCTTGGCCAAGGTCAGGGCACGACTTTAGTGTAGGTATCGGCGCTGTATTTGGAAGCGGCGTGTGGTGCCAAAGCAGCTCATGGACCTATCGAGGAGAAGGCGCCATGAACGGGTGGCTTGCGGTAGTGGTTTGACGATGGAATCCCCGGACTCGATGTGTCACAGTGATTTGTTCTCGTCAGGAAAAAGTAAGTCGAGCAAACGGACAAAGTCCAGCGTCGCTGTCGAGATGACGCCACAGGAGCTGCAGAAGCGAAAGAAGCGGTGGCAGGCGCGTTGGGTATATCTAAAAGCGACGACAGGGGTGGTCCTGCTGTGGAATGAAATGCGGACGGGGCGCGTCGTATGTGACCGAGGAAGATGCGACACAAGTCTGACGGAGAGATTGACAGCGCAGGGCAGTGCGAATGGAAGCTGGCGGAGAAGAGGAGCATCACTTGTTGCTATCAGCTGCCCTGCAGTTGTTGGTGCCATGCAAGGATAACTCGTCAAGGCCTGAAGACGTTCCAGATGCCGCTAACAGGACCTAGAAACAGGCCCACCCGCCCCTTTGAGCCAAGTCGAGTCCTGCACCTCTGCAAGCGATCCGTCGTCCGCCGCACTCCACTCCACCCTGCGTGCTTTTTGCCTCAGCTGGGAATCTCGCGCACCTCCCACCGAGCCTAGAATCACCACACCATCGCTTTTCTCGCTGCTCCCACACCACGCTGACAGTCTCGGCTCCACCACCATGACACGCCCCGTGCCCTGCTAACGCAAACCGCGCCACTTTAGCTGAGTCAGGCCTCGCCCTAGGTCGACGTTGTCTTGGCTTCGACACATGACGGCTTCTTGCCCTAGGCATGCGGAAGTCATCAGCTAATTGCAATCCCACGGCTCGGGTTCGCGGTACGCTGGCGCAGGCGGCACGCGTTCGCCGCTTGTCTTTGTCCTCCGTACCTCGGACACGCTCGCCTTGTGGCCTATACTGACCGACACACGCAGGTCGCACCCTCCTGTCCGAATCCAGATATCGCCAACACCTTCTCCCTGCTCGACTGTCTTCCTTTCTTCTTTGCCGCTCCTTTTCGAACACCATCTTTTTGTCTTTCCACGTCATCTTTCCGTCATTTTCGCGTCACCTGTGAGGCAATCCTGCTTGCGCCGCGCCAGACATTTCGATAAACAATTTCCGTGGTACGGTTTGCGTACGGTGAAGAGTCAGATGACTATCGCAATCTCACATTAGCCCTAGGACAATCATACATCGCACAGCGGATATCTGCAGTGCTGCACTCTATCCGGCATATTCGTGGCAACCGGCACCTTTGTCTCGACAGCTTCGTCTAGTACCCTGGTCTTGATTTGAAACCTATGATCCTCTCCATACCGTCATCATCCATCACCTTAAATTTCGCTGATGCCTCCGTGGCTGGTTACTCTATTCTTCAATAGCAGATCGAGAGCTACATTTGAGTAGGTCTGTCACCGAGGTAGTGCTCCAAAGAGCGCTGACTAGTATTTGGAGGCAAGTTAAGATGAACCCATTGTAAAACACAGCCACTCGTAAACCCTTCAGCCACGCATTCAGCCGCATCATAACGAAGGAAAGGAGTCAAGCAGAGCAGAAAAATGATTCGCCTCTGATTTGCTTCACGTAGGGTTTGGCGCAGATCTATCTTGAGTGTAGCATGGCGGTACCAAATTTCTACTTGATGTAGAGCATCGTGGACTGTACCCATCTACGCAGCGATCTTGATAACAGCCCGTCCAGCAAGCTTCCCTGCATTCATGTCTGCACAGAACCGATCAATATCCTCCAAACCACCATGAGTCAGAATCGGATGTACGAGTCCTCGCGAAGTAAAGTCGAGTGCCTACCCGCCCAGTTAGTAGCAGTCTCCCTACCTAGCTCGCGAGAATAACACTCACCTCCTCAACGTCCTTTAGCGTTCCTGTCACGCTTCCCACAACATTCAATCTCTTGAGGCACATCAGGATTGGACTAGCTCCCGCAATGATCGACGAATCTTTCGGTAGGCCTACACACACCATCGTGCCGTTGGGTCTCAGCAAGTTTGGCGCTTGTTCGTAGCCTGCTTTCGTTGCTGCGAAAACGATCACGCCATGAGCGCCATAAGTAGTAATCTTCATGATCTCGGAAGTGATGTCCGAGCATGTAGTGAAGTCGATAAACCTCTCGGCACCAAGAGAGAGGCAGAGATCGCGTTTGGCGTCGCCGCCGTCGATGGCAATAACGCGCATACCCATATGGCGAGCGTACTGAACACCAAAATGACCAAGGCCTGGGTGGTATCAGCATCATCTTATATGACGGTTTCAATTTCGTCGCTGCGAAAGACGGAAGAGGACACAAAAGCGCTATGCGCATACTCACCACCACCCGCTCCCGGAATGACAATCCACTGCCCGGGGAGTACTTTACTTCTCTTGCAAGCCACATACGCTGTAACACCACCACACATGATCGGGCCCGCCTCCTCATCTTTGACACCATCAGGCAATCTCGTCGCATATCTCGCATCCGTTAAGCAATACTCCTGGAACGTTCCCGCAACAGTAAATCCACTGTTCAGCTGCTTCGGGCAATGACATTCGTCTTGGCCATTAGTACAAAACTCGCATCGTCGGCATACAGACGCAATCCATTTGATACCAGCGCGATTACCAGGCTGCCAGAGATCCTGCACGTTTGCGCCAACGGCTACAACGATGCCAGCGCCCTCATGGCCTGCGATGCCTTTGGTACATTCGGCCATCTTGAAGTCCCACTCATCATGGAGCAGGGATTTGTCCGAGGCACAGAGGCCACTGTAGTTTATCTTGACGAGAATCTGGTCAGGAGCTGGTTCTGGGACAGGAATCTCCTTGATGGTAATCGTAGCGTTGTCGCCGGTGCCTTGTTTGATGGCCGCCTTTTGTGTTTTGGGGAGTTGCATAATGTTACTGTATTCGGGACGATGTGAAGAAAGGGAGTATGGCTGATTGAGGAACATTGAGTCACTCCGAATACACCTATATATGTATCAACACGGACACCCGGCACCCACTGTCCTATGTGCGGGGGTCCAACTTAACGGACCTTGTTCTTGGCCTTTGTACGGATAGTCGAAGGTTACTGATCGGGGTCGCAAAAGCATGAGCAGTCCGAATTCGGTACACAGATAATCCCTCTACCATTGTCAAGACGTTGCGTTCATAATCTACCGTGCATCGTCACCGAAGCCCTCGTGATCCTACAGCACTGCAACTCGGGAGACCAGATCGGATAAAGCACGTTCGTGTCAAGGTCTGCGGGGAGTATCCGCTGTGTATACGAACCGAGGATGAGGGGCACGCGAGACGGTGGACGTGCGGAGACGACTAACGATTAGCGTGCAAGGCGGGGTACAGACATGAGGTAGATTGGACATGAGCGAGCCGTTTGTGACAGAGTCGAAAGATTCGGGAAAACTAAGAGGAGAGAATTATTGGGTTGTTGTTGCTGCTCTCATGCTGCAATACTTGGTGTCTACGAGGGGTTGAACCTCAGCTCGGGACGCCCCATGGCGCATTATACTCATGCAGCCTTCTTTCAAGCCTATACCGAAATTTGTACGCCGACCAGTGCAGTTATCCTCTGAACCCAGAACGCCGTGCCAAATTCAATGCTCCCATTCTTCTTACCATGCCGTGATATCGTCGACCTCAGCCTCACCAAACGTGCTGCTTTTGGTGGCGACCATACCAGAATCGCTTGTTGCGGTCTCTACGTTTGGTGTTCTATTCATGATCTCTGGAAGCTCGGTCTTGAGGAAGCCTAGTAAGTGTTTGTTTACCTGCTCAAATTCCAGGAGGAAGGCGTCGTGACCATCTGGAGAATCGATCGTCTTAAGTGTAGCCTTGGGAATACAAGCGGCCAATTCCTTCTGTTCGGCAAATGTGAAGAGACCGTCCGACTGTATACCTAGTACCAGTGTAGGCTGTTCAATCAAGGAAAGCGCATAATGAAGGGCCGATACTGGATCTAGTGTGTCGGGCGTCTCGCCTTCAGGATAGCGGTAGCGGGATACATCATGCGTATCCAGCTTTCTTGTGATTGCGATGTAACAATTAGCGTCAAAACGCTTGATGAACTTGTCGGCCTGGTAACGGAGGTAGGACTGTGCTGAGAAGTAGTGCGGCGCAAGAGGCTTCGATGAGCGCGGGAATTGACTGTTGCTACTTGTCGAGCTTGACCTTTCGAGGTTCGGAGTGGCTGGGTCCGATGCATCATGGAACTCGAGGTCGGCATGTGCGGCTGCAGAACCGGGTATGGCGGTACTGCTGTTTGTCCGTGACATCAGACGCGGCGAGCCAGCGTTCTTGTGACCGTGGTTGTGTATCGCCCAGTGTTCATGGGAGGGATTGGACGGAGTGGTCGGTCGCGGTACAGTATTGATGCTCTGTTTCTTGGATAGGTCTGGTGTGTTGCGCCCAAATCTTGATTCGAACGAGTCGCGGCTTCTGTAAGTCAGTAAAGCAGACATGCGTGCGGCTCCAAGCCCGGTCGATGGAGGATCTTCATATGCGTAATAGCCGTCGTCGTATTTGGGGTCACTGTAGATACTTTGCCGTTGCGCTTCGCCCCAGCTGATGCCCCATGCGCTGTAGCGAGCGGAAGTGGCTATCGGGATGATGGTCTTGACGTAGTCTTTTCCGAAGTAGGCAAACTCGAGGACAAGCATACCGCCCATGGATCCTCCAATGACGGCAGCGACCTGCTTCACACCAAGATCATCCAAGAGGAGCTTGAAGACACTGTGCCTGTTAGCAGCTTCCAAGTACGAATTCCAGATTTCGCTCGACTAACTTGACATCGTCTCTTACAGTTGTCAGTGGAAACTCGGGTCCGTACGGACCCAGCGAGACGTCGCCATCTTTTGCTGTGACCGGGCTTGCGCTCCCGTAAGGACTGCCGAGACTGTTCATACAGACGACGAAGAAGCGCGATATATCAAAAGCCTTCCCAGGCCCACCTAGCAACGGTCCCCACCAGTCTCCCACGTCAGCACTTCCGGTGAGCGCATGGCATATCACCATGGCATTGTCTCCGCTGGGCGCGAGGGTACCGTAGGTCTTGTAGGCAACGCTGACATTGTGTAACACGACGCCGGATTCGAGCGTGACCCGGGGGATGACGGCAAAGGTCTGGTCGGGGATAAGTTTGGCGAACGGATTCTCGGGCTGCGACGACACCGTCCCTACCGCATGTCAGTTTGGATCATGCACCGCCAGAACGCGTCAAGAAAACCCGTCTGGATTCTTCAACATTCCGCATAGCAAATTGCAGCAACCAGCCGTTCTTGCTTTGCCTGTCCGAAATGCTTGCGACGGCAAGAAAAGTTCAAAATGCACCTACTGTACTTCGTCGATCCATTGGCAGATCCATAGGTATCCATAGTCGCGATGTCGTACGTGTAGTCGTAGGGAAGAGTGGAGCCTGCGTTGCAGGAAGTCTGGCGTATCGATCACATTGTGGGGAGTCATCACATTGGTGTCGAGTGCTGCTTGCAGACGCCCGCTAGACGAGGCTCGCCAAGACAATGACGTGCTTTTGGGATTTGCCTGGCCCGTATGATGCCCTCGATCTGTCAAACATCAACCATCACCCTTTGCCTAGATTGGTTTTTTGAAGTGTCTGCCCAAGCCTTGATACTCTTGACACTGCTTCCAAAGTTCCCCGCAATGCCCGAGACAAGACTCGAGGCTTCCCTCCGAGTGTTGCCTGTCCGCCATTGTCCAGGATTGTTTTCACCTACTTGGCGACATAATCACTGCTTTGTGCAAAATGGCGTTACCATACGATTTCTCCCATGAGGTTGTGCAACAACACGAAGACTGTCGCCAAACCCTCGAGTGCAATCAAGAGACAGAGTCACCGGCTGCCCGCAGGTGTTTCAAGTTAGATGATTGGACAACAACAGAAAGGTTGAGCTCTCCCGACTTTGATTGCGATGGTCATGGGCAAATTGCAGGTTGTTGTCTGGCTTTTATAGTACACAGAAATATATTGTTGGCCCAAATACGACTTGTCATCGTCGAATTAATGCATCAACCGACTGGCGCAAAGCGTACTCTGACCAGTCAACGGCTGCAAATGGAAACCAAGCTCAGCGTGCACTATATAGAATTCCTGCGACGGGAGCGAAATGGAGGCATCTAAAACAACAAGGACGGACGCAATCACGGCTATGTAGCACGCACCTCTCGCTAACGGACGCCACACGTGGCTTGCGCGTGACACTAGCTCTCTCTGCCCACCCAAACGCGTCCGCATCCAACATCAACCATTATTACTGACATGCGATGCGACGGGTAGTAGTAACAGGCTTAGGGCTTGTAACCCCTCTTGGACTAGGTGACGCGACGTTCACCTTGCTTTGATCCCATTTCTCCTAACGCGGATAGGTGTTCGACGAACCTGGAAGCGTCTGATCGATAGCCAGTGTGGCATCGTTTCCATCAAAGACAGAAGCCCTGAATTCGCGCTGCTACCGAGCCAAGTCGCTGGTCTGGTTCCTCAGGGTAGCAAAACCGATGGCAAATGGAATACAAAGGAGCATCTAAGCCACAGCGTATGTGCCGCCACCCAACGTTCTCGTCTTTGACAATGTTAATTTTATTACAGGATGAACGCCGTATGGCACGCTTCGCACAGTACGCCATGGTGGCGTCCGAGGAAGCTCTCAATGATGCGGGATGGTTTTCGAAGGAAGCGGCCGATCTTGAAGTCACGGTACAGAGGCTCAGCATCCGCCCAGCCTGCATCTTACTCACACCGAGATAGGGAGTGTACATGGGATCTGGTATCGGCAGTTTAGATGATGTGTATGATACCACAATTGCTTATGAGAAAGGCGTGGGTTGTCCCAGCTATCGATCGTAACTGTCAACTGATTGTGCTAGGGTTACCGAAAGGTGTCCCCGCTCTTTGTTCCACGACTGTTGATCAACCTAGCCGCAGGTCACATATCGATGCGTTATGGGTTCAAGGTGGCTATAACCTTCTGGCTATGTTTGTTGATGCTGAGCCATGATAGGGACCGAACCATGCGGCAACAACAGCATGTACGACCGGAGCACATAGCATCGGAGACGCGTCACGTTTGATTCAGTTCGGAGATGCAGATGTTATGATAGCCGGCGGAGCTGAATCATGCATTCATCCTCTCGCCATATCAGGCTTTGCTAGGGCTAGAAGCCTGGCTACTGAGTTCAATGAACGGCCCATGGAGTCCAGTCGACCATTCGACCGAGAACGGGATGGTTTTGTCATTGGAGAAGGAGCCGGAGTTGTGGTTCTCGAGGTACGCGATCGCTGTGTGCAAGGTTGCCGTACCTGTCGTATCTAATCAGGTGCAGGAACTCGAGCACGCAAGGAAGCGAGGTGCGAACATCTATGCTGAAGTCGCCGGCTACGGACTGTCCAGCGACGCACACCACATGACGGCACCTCGCGAAGATGGCCAAGGTCCACGTCTCGCAATGAAGCATGCACTACGACATGCCGGCCTCAAGCCAAGCGCTGTCGACTACGTGAACGCCCATGCGACGAGCACCCCACTAGGTGATGCTGCGGAGAACCGAGCCATCAAAGAGCTTCTGCTTGGCGAAGACGGAAAGGATAGAGCTTGTGAAATCAATGTGAGCAGTACAAAAGGTGCGGTCGGACATCTTCTGGGTGCTGCAGGGAGCGTGGAGACAATTTTCACGATTCTTGGGATGCATCACGTAAGTCAGATGTGGTTCTTGCCATAGCCTACATGTTGACGATGACCAGAACATCCTACCTCCGACTCTCAATCTTGAGAATCCAGGAGATCCGGCGGTTGACTTTAACTGCAACTACGTCGCCAATGCTGCTCAACAGCACAGAGTCAATGTGGCTCTCTCGAATAGCTTCGGTTTTGGTGGCACCAACGCATGTCTATGCTTCCGCAAAATTTGAGAGTCGACGATAGTTCACCATATATAATACGAGCTTCTGATTGTCAAAACTTGATGCCGAGGTTTTGTGGATTCGCGACCATTAGTACACCATGATGCTAATTACCCCGCCAGAGGGTCACGATAACAGCTGCTAGCCCCACTTGGCGTCATTTGCATCCCACGGTGCCACCCGTGGACGACAGGAGCCGCATCTGCGATACTTACCTTCCAAGCTTCACTATAGTTACCTCTTCAAACTTCCTTCACTTTCTATCAGGCTTCGAGCTCAAGTTGTCGCGCTCTTTGTTACGCGCGAGGGCGAACTCTGGTAGAATGGCAACCTCTCGCCCCTCATCTGTAGTGGGTAGCGATGCAGGGAGCAAATTATCATTCTTTCGCAATGCATCCAACAAAGCATCTGCATATCATGCGCAGACACCCTACCTCAGAAGGCTCCCATTCGCGGCAATTGCAATCATCATCACCCTCGTCGCTGTAAACCTCCTTGTTTGGGCGGCAGTTGGTATAGTCTTAGTAAGTAAAGAAGGTGAATCCAAATGGCGTTGATCGCATATGCTAAACGTCGGCAGCACTGGCATACGCCACTGATCTCGACAGCAATCCTCTCATACACTCTGGGCTTGCGCCATGCCCTGGATGCAGATCATATTTCGGCGATCGATCTCATGACTCGCCGTCTGGTTGCTGCAGGCCAGCGGCCAGTGACGGTTGGAATGTTCTTCAGTCTCGGACATTCTACCATCGTCATCATCACGTCGCTCATCGTTGCAGGAACTGCAGCGGCTGTGTCAGACAAGTTTGACAATTTCGAGCGTGTCGGTGGCATCATTGGCACTTCAGTCTCTGCTGCTTTCTTGTTGCTCCTTGGTCTTATGAACATCTACATTCTGTACAAGCTCATAGTACAGATGCGAAAGATGGTTTCGAGCGACCCTGGTAGTGAGCACGAACAGTTCAAGATACAGGGCGGCGGTTGCCTCTTCCCGATATTGCAGAAGCTCTTCAAGTTGGTCGACCGACCCTGGAAGATGTATCCTCTGGGTGTACTTTTCGGGCTAGGTTTCGACACTTCTTCCGAGATCGCTGTCCTAGGAATAAGTTCGATTCAAGCCACGAAGGGGACATCAATTTGGCTGATCTTGATCTTTCCACTGCTCTTCACAGCAGGCATGTGCCTTCTCGATACCACCGATGGTGCGCTGATGATGAGTCTGTACACAAGCACGCAACTTGCGCGCGACCCGATCGCCATTTGCTACTACAGTATTGTGCTAACAGTCATTACCGTGGTTGTCGCGACCATCATCGGGACAGTGCAGTTCCTCAATCTGGTGCTCAACGTTGCCGAGCCGCATGGCAAGTTTTGGGAAGGCGTCGAAAAGCTGGGCGATGCTTGGGATATAGTTGGTGAGTTGATTGATCGCACTAAAAGAATTCGACACTAACAGGATGCAGGCGGAGCTATATGCGGTACATTCATCGTTTTCGGTGGTCTCAGTGTTCTGCTGTACAAGCCTTGGAGACGTCGCATCGATAGGAAAAGAGTCAACAATGCGCACTTTGAGCCATTACCCCAGGAAAATGATGTGCCCGGCTCCGACGAAGAGCACAACCGAGGGATCGTCCCATCGAGTACGTAACAGGCAAAAGCGGTGGAGGTGAACATCGAGCCAGTAGAAGCCATAGGCGCTGGTCCTGCACGTTGTTGAAAACTTTGTGTCAACAGCACCAGACGTCGACCCTTCAATTTAATATTACCTGACAACCTGCCTATATCCTTTACCTCTTCCGATCCCGAGACCATTTTCCGTCAAACTGCGGACTCATACATGTCAAGTCGAGCATTCTCCCTGCGGAATCTTTCGAATACGCTATGACGTCCTGAAGAGCACACGAGACCGCTGCAGAGATCTGTTGGAGCTGGCCGTTCGAAGTGATGGTGTATGAGTAGTCTGTCAGAGTCATATGCATCGATTGAAAAAGGCAAATCGTGTATATCTGAGGAGGTGCGATCTTTTGGACCGAAAGTCGGGTTCGTGTACGGTAGAAGCAGACTGTATATGGGTGATGACATGGGCGGGCGTTGAAATGAGCGGCAAATGCCGAACCTGTGTGTCTATGATGAAAAGGCGTGTTTGGTGACCTGCAACTTGATTGGGTCTGAGTGATTGTGGATGATGGCGCTGCTGGATTGGGACCGAAGGAATGCCGCAGGAGGCTGTCCATGCTTTACAATAAGAGGGAAAGACATTAAAGAACTCTTTGTTACGCACTCAAACCACTGTCTCTTATGATGAATCACCATGATGGGCACAGAGACGAGTTGCGCATTAGAGACAACACATGTTTGTCTTTCTACTACCGCTCACGGCGTAACTTCAGCTCTTCAAGATTGTACACAACCATGAGAACCTTGGTGCCAACTCCACCTTTTATTAGCTTGGAGTCAAGCTTGCGCGGCTTTCAAACCTCCCACTCTGCGATCTTCAGGACAGCTTCTTGAGTGCCAAACACACGCAATGTATTGCCAAACTCGTTCCAAAACTTTGAATCAAAGGCTGGGATGAGCTCCATTGGCTGTCGCTTAACCTGCTCCAACGGCACCCATCCCGTCTTATCTTGGACGTAGACGTCATTTTCCCATGACCCGGCGACGTCTTGAACCTGTTCGTCCCATTTTGCAAGTTCACTATCTTCAGGAAGCTTAACCTCTCCGTCATCTTCAGTCGAGGAAGATTCGGCGTCAGGGCTCAGAGCTTTGAGCGTGTCGAATAGGTTCTTAGTTTCGAATCGTTGTTGTCTTGCCTCCTTTTTCCTAGCCTTGGCCCTTTGTTTCTTTGTTTTCTTGGGTTGAGGCTGCTCCACTGGGGGCAGGGGAACGGGCAGGTCGACCTTCTCGCGTCCATCTTTTAGAAAATCCTGAACATCTTCCGCCAACACTCCTTTCGCTTTGTCACTGGGACGGTTGGGCAATGGCGCCGGAACCTGTTCTCCTCGCTCCGCACCAAGCTTGGCGGCGAGCCTGATCATGATGGTGGCAGTAAGGAGGCTGTCATAGCCTGCTTCGTGGAAGGCCTCGGTCTCTTGGTACTTCGGATGGTCGGCATGCATGACGATGTGGGGCAACGGCTGCAGACTTGAATTCTCAGCAATATCCTGTAGTGTAGGGGAGGCGTTGAGGTCGCCTTCAGCATGAGTCGCTAGATATTTAGTGTCGATGATGTTGGGGAACAGCTCATGGATGGCATCCTGGAAGCCTTGCAACGTATCCTGTACGGAGTTAGCGCGTCGTCCAAATGAGGAGATGTTGCACGTGCAGGCAGTTGGCCGACAAAAGTACGATAAAAGTAGACAATGTCAGTGAACATGTTGTGGCCGACTAGCACGGGCTGCTTGATCTTGAGTCTTTCTATGGCTCTGTCGTAGCGATCTCTTATATCATATGCGTCGGCAGCGACAATCGTGCCAGTAGTGCGTGCGACATAGAGTGGATCCGCGCGATTGATGTCGCCGCCCTTGACTAAAGCCTCAAAGATCCAGCGGAAGCCGGTTTGTCGGACAATGGATTCTTTGACGCGGTTCTTGATCCTGCGCATGTTGTCGGCCTCACGCACAGGGTCTAGATGAAGGATACGAATACACTCTCCGCGTCCTATGGACACCAACTCTGGGAACTCTGCGCGCACGAGCTGATGCACGAGACGCTTCTCGAATCGCGTGATGACGGGTATTACGGGCGGAGTGGAAAGCCCTGTATGAGTTGTAATGTCCAAGGACGACGAAGTGCTAGATTTCCATTTCTCAATGGCTTGCCTCACCCTGCGCATAAAGTCGAGCGACTCGACATCTGCCGAGTTAAGTTGCAGATCGGGTATGGGATTCTTGTTCTCGAGTCGATCCCAGGCCATGCGCTTTGCTCGCTCTGCTTCCTCGCGGGATAAGTACTGTACGCCTGTGGCAAATGGAGCCCCCAGGTCGAAACCATTGTTGAGGAGGAAGGTACACGCGCCGCTCTGAAACTTGATCTCACGCTCAAAGTCGATGCGCTCGTCAAAAAGCGGGCTGATGTTGATGTTGTAAGGCCTCAAGACATAGGTATTGGCAAGGTAGTCGAAGCGCGCGCAAGTGATACCTATCTGTAGGATCTGATAGCGGTCGGCACCCATTTTGGTCTCGGCATAGCGCTCCTCCATGGTGAAGCGCGCCGGGCCATGTGCAGGTTTGTCTTGGATGCGCGATGGAATGCCGGACAGTTCGAGATCAAAAGACACAAAGTCGGCCTCGGATATGTGGATGAAGATGGCCAGCAAGTGGTGCGGGAAGGTAGCTGCGTCGACGTCCATGTTGGCGAGACGCGTAAAGATAAGCAAGGCGCACTTCCAAACGTCGTTGGCAATCGGAGGAAATGGGGCAGGCGCTGTGTAGAGCTACGTTGGCTGGGTGCGGAGGTCTCTCTGGTCAGTGTTGTTGAAGTTAGCAGCGATGGATCAAGCGACAAAGCCCGTGTCTAGCTCCTGACTCTGAGCTTGACGCAAGCAAGCGGGTGTCAAGCACCTTGACAACGTCTACAGACTGATGCAAACGCAGATAGCTCGGGGTCTCGGAGGCAGGTGACGCGCCAAGGCGGTTCGGGTGAGGTGAGGTCAGCCGAGGTTCGAAATGTTGACACCGGGCGCTCCGTCACCCACCGCTATGCGCTCGTGAAGCTCAGAGGACATCGAAACATGGCGACGCTCTACGACGACGTCAGCGGGTCGCGCTACCTCTCATCATCCATCTCGTCGCTCTCGACGTCACGGCAACAGTCGTCGCAGATCGCCAAAGCCTACCGACAGGCTGCCCAGCTGTTCCTGACGCGACGACTCCCCGAGGCGCTGTCGACTATCGAGCCCATCATCAGCCCGCCGCCAATCGACGCGGCCGACGTCGTGGGCCACGCGCCCGTCGCGACGGCGTCGCGCGGCACCCGGGTCAAGGTGTGGAGCTTCTACCTCACCTTCCTCAACGCCGTGGTCGAGCTGGGCGCCGAAGAGGGCAAGCACGCCTTTGGCAGCACGCGATGGAAGCAATTGGTCTCGCAGTGTCGCGACGGCAGCATCTGGGACCACGTGGTCCGCGACGGCTATGCGGGGGTCGAGGGCGACGTGGACGCCGACGTTGTCGTCAACCTGTAAGCAATCCCCTGACCTGGTGAGCGACTGCGTATTGATGCTACATAGAGCCACCCTCCTCCTTACCCATGCGCCCTCGCAGCGGCTCAATCAGCAGAAGCTCGAGACGTACCTCTCCGCCACCGCCAACCCAGCCCTCGACGTGTCCTCGCACATGTCTTCTCCGGCATACCTCGACAAACGGCCAGGCCATCGTAGGCAACACACCGGCACCGACACCCCACGCGACCTGGAAAAGCGCATCAAACTCCTCGAGCTCTACACCCTGCACGTCCTGCCACGGAACGACGAATGGGACTATGCCCGCGACTTCATCGACATGTCCGAGGTGCTGGACCAAGAGCGCAAGGAAGCCTTCCTGCTAGCACTGCACTCTCTCAAGGAAGAAAAGGAAGACACGCAAGCCCGCGAAGAGAAGCTACGCCAGCAACAACAAGAGCAAATGGAGGAGCGCCGCAGAGAAACCGAGGCCAAGCGCCTCGAGCAGTCGCGCGCACAAGACGAACGCCGCATACGCGAGGAACAAAACAGACGCCAACCCCGCGGCTCAGACGAGCCACAACCCACGCCATCGCAGTCTTCCCGCACCTCCCGAACGCCCGCCAAGAAACCAACCACACCACCACCCGGCCTCTACAACCGCGCGTCTACCATGTTCGCAAACATACACACCATGATTTCGGATACGGCCCATCACATGACTTCCAATCCCATGGCTTTCTTCCGTACTTTACTTTTCTTATTGGCGTTTGGCTTGGCGTTTGGCAGGCGCCATCTTAGAGAGAGGATACTACGCATCATACGGAGTGCGTGGGACAAGGTGAGACGTACCGTAGGAATGGGCGTCAAGGTTTCCTACATCTAACCTGTCTGCCATATGTGGGTCCGGTTCTTATGGTTATATATTCTTCTTTCTAAACATTACTACCGTCGGTCATGCTAACCTCTTGCAATATCATCATGCTCTTCGTCTTCGTCCTTAGTGTCGGTCCTGTCATATCACATACGCTAGCCTTCATTGTAGCCTTGGCCTGTACCTGGCTGATGCCATTGCGCGCGTCTTCCCACATTCCAGACATTAGCCGTTACAGCTGAGGTGAAGATAGGATCAATGCAGGAAATAGACTAGATTATTCGGATAAACATGCTTTGTACTTGTGACAAAGAGAACTTCGGATGGTAATGCGAGGGGACGAGGTCCACCGTTTTACCAACGCCATGAGATTGAGCACATCCTTCTGGCTATATTCAGCTCTTGGGACATCGCTATACGATAGCTCATCTCGCAATCAGAGTTGTTCAAAAAGACTTCCCATCCTTTGCATATGACTACGTTCGTACTGGAACGCAACCAAATCTATGCGCTTACTGGACCTTGTGTCTGGAACCCAGTGTCTTCCTTCTTTGCTTGATCATGTAGGTGTACATGGTGTAGGAACCTAATAAGATGTGAATTTCGAGTATAAACAAGCCGCCATAAAAGAATCATTACCTGGAATGTACAGCATCAAGCAGAAGTAGAAGACGAGCGGTATGACTGGGCTGACCTTCGCTCCAGGAGCAATAGACCGGTACAGTAACCACCACTCAGCCCCGATACCGACCGGATAGAGTGGGTAGAACATGGTATACCTGGGACAGTCAGCTACCTAGGTAGGACCAAGTAGCGGATGAGGTGGCTTGAGAACATACCGGAGCCACACCAGTCCTCTCGGGGCTTTCCCGTGCATGTTGAGCGCAAGATACAGGTATCGGATGGTGTCTGCGACCGACCAAGCAAGGAGCAAGGCAAGATAAGCATGCGAAGTTGCCGTGCTTTGCGGAAAGCTGTACCACACCATCCAAACCTGTATGACGCGTGTAACAACTTGAAGTGCGGTTGTGCTGACTGGAGATTTGATGACACCTGGTATCGTTCTCAATGAGATGCACAAGAAGAGGTAGGAATGATGAACATACCAAACGCCGCATGTAAGACTTCTATCAACGAAGCGGTCTGTATCCATCGCGCATATGGCTCTGTTGCATCAAAGAGCTCGAATTTGCTATTTCGAGCATTAGACACGGCTCGAACGAAGACCGATGCCCATAGCGATGCGAAGAGGACGTTGTATGCAGTAAGGTAAATCGTGCGAGGTTGCCATGTCACTGCTGGCGTAGTAAGCTCCATACGTTGGTTAGCCATTCTCGCTCCTGCCGCTCAGGATTTAGTTGGTGACACTTCGAGGCATGAGTGAACACATTGCGCAAGCAGAAATTGTCGTCGTGGTTTCCATCGGCCACCAAGTCAAATGTAGGCGATGAGCCGAGGCTAACTCGGTGTAACTCCGCTACTGAAGAGCACTCGTAACCTCTCGTTTCGAACTTTGAAACACTCTGTGTAAGGATATCTATGATTTTAGCTTCTAGCTTCCGCTTTTCTTCCTCCAATTCTTAGGCGCAAGCGCGAACTTCAGGTGCCGTCTGCTGCATTGGCTAGGGTCGGTTGGGCACTGGCCAATCGGAAACACGTAATGACTGATTGCAGGCTGCCACTGGGAACTGCTCACCATCAAACAGAAAGCGTATCAAGCAGCACCTATACCAAAATGTGTACTACGACCACAAAGAGCAAGGCGTGCACAAGCTCGCATCGCATGCCAGTTTCTTACTTCAAATCCTTACAAGCATTGCAGACGCCTGGCTGAATTGCTCACCTAGACAGCTGTTTGGAAAGCTTGCGACAGCCACTTACATACCTACCCAATGTATCAGTCTACAGTCTTGAGTGTACGCCCCCATGGTCGCGTTGAGCCGACTGTTCGTGTGACACAAGCTCATGCGTGCGTCTACTAGTCTGCGCTACCCGAATGAATATCAGGGAAAGCGGGTGAACTCAAAGATACGGTCCCTCTATATCTGTTGTAAGCTTCCAAAGCAAAAGGAAGTAGTGCGACCATGTACAAAACCTCTGCATGCATCACTAAAGCGGCCTCTGTTGTTGCAACTTCAAAGTAGGTACACGTAATTGCGAAACAGCTTTCTTGGGCGGCATACATGCCACTGATCTTTCCTCTTTTGCTTTCATGAATAGGGGTGTTGACGAAGTATGGACTTTTGAGACGCTGAGTCGTCCAACCCCGGCGACGGAGATTCGCCAACAATAGTAGGAAATTGTTCTTCCACGCGCTGAGTCCATCGAATCTCCCCTTCTTGTCCATCCTGTTCCCCATCATTCAATGCGTTCGGGTGAGTTGGCGAGTTTATCGCACATAGCTCTACGACTGTGCCATCAATCTCGGCATCCACGATTGCGGATAGGCGATATGGATCCTTTGTATCGCGAGATGAGGCTTTGCCTCGCCGTTGTGCTGTATTAGAGGCATTATTTTTGTCCTGCAATGACTTGTAGCTTCGTTTGCTCGTAGAGTTGTAAGTGCTGCGGTCTGTGGTGTAGCTTGAAGGAATATTCGTGGGCATCTTGAACCCGTTCTGGCAGTATCGTATCAGGTTTCTGATTGTGGGGACGGCAGCGCATATATGTGCAACTCCACTGGAGGTGAATCCAGTAATCGATGTGCCAGTCACTGTGTAGGTTGGGTCGATAGTGTCGACAACCCCTGGTAAAAATGGCAAGCGTACGATGGACATGATAATAACACTTCGGAAGGGTTAGATTACACAAATCGAACAAGACCAAGACAAGACGTACCAGATACCAAGGCTAAAGAAGATGAGTAGCTGTATCTTCTTTGCAGTCTTCATCTGCAGCTTCCATACAATCGGGATAGGAAGACTGAATAGGATAGTCTCAGCGATGATCTCGTATACAACCGTCAGTCTCAAGACGGCGATATAGTCGATGCATTTCGCAGTTTCTTGCTCTTGAAGATTCCAGATAGCGCGGACTGGAATACATTGGAACGCAGCCAGGAAAAGTAGGGGCAGGGTGAACAGAGCCGTAAAAGCCATAAAGGCGAAGACCGCGCGCTTCAACCAGACGTTCGGAAAAATGCGAATATACAAGCAGAGAATGCTGTACTTTATGAGAAGCAATTCGACACCCCACAAGATGGTAGCAATATAGGCTGTCTCTAGTCAGTACTTATGTATCAGAGCTAGCAGATGGAAGCGTACTCCATTTGCCGATTGCGACGACACGTGGATATGTCAGGTCCCATATATGATGGCCGAGTCCCGCTTTGAGGTTCAATAATAGGGCAACAGTCATAGGGATGACCAGGACCTGCACAATCGTAAGTAAGATGACACTGATTTGTTCATCGAACACCTACCACCGCTGCTAGATGGAGCCAATCGTCCCACCAGAGCTTATTGCTACCCACGTATCGAGAAGCAAAGCGCATTACAATCACGATGATTGGTATGATTCCAGTCACGTATGCCACTATCCGGATGGAGTTCGATAGGTTATCGTGCGGCTTGTCGCAAATAGAGGCTTGAATGCGGAGCGTAGCTACAAACACATCAGTGATACCGCTTCCGATCACTGCGACGAACATACCAAAGGTCTCGTTGTAGTTGCACTGCTTTTCCAAGCACGGTTGCAAAATCTTGGTCGAGTTTTTGGAACTACATTGGCACTCTATGTCGAGGAGCGTACAGCCAATGGCAGGCAGGTTTTCGTTGATACAATCTAGCTTTGCAACAGTCAGCTGCAACAATCGTCCTCTTGTGCCATGTATATCTTACGGCGCATGGCGGAATCTGGCTCAATGCATCCAGTGCCGCATCGTCTAATGAGACAGCATTCGTCGTGGGGCAACAGGCGCTGACCAACAGCACAAAGGTAAACACTAGGTGCGGGAACAGAAGGAGCATTTTGACAAGGTAGTTTACGACGATGTGCACGGGTAGCAATAATTGCTTTTCGTGCTGGTGTAGAATGCAGAGTCCGCTGTAAAAGCCACAACACATGAGCGCACGGGCGAGGCCATGTAACCTCGCCGAATCTACCCAATTCCTAAACTGACTCAGTTATCATATGCTATGTGCCGTTGGTGTCAACTTCAATTTGCCGGTGGCGGGTGGATTAGGGCTCGTCACGAAACGGGTTCGACGCAGTTAGTGGAGCTTTGTTTACGTCCAAGGAAGGGATAAGCCTGTCATCAAGCTGCCACTCTATGTCTCACAACGGCGCCCAGTCTTACCTACTGGTGGGGTGGCAGTGAGCAATCTTCCAAGGCCTGCTTCAGTTCCTCTACTAGAGTGAGATCGCAACGATTAGCGATGGAGATGATCTTTCCTTGAGTATCCACAAAATCGTATGCCACACGATCTCCACAACGGCTGGCTTGATCCGCTGCACCACGGCGGTGCAGGGTCGCTCGAGTCAGCCCTAAAGAGCTGGCGCATGTACCGGTGGATTCAACCCCTGGAAGCAATCATTGCTCCATCCCCGCAAAGCCGATCGGATAGCCCGCGATCAATTGTTCTTGATGACCAGGTCATGTTCGCCGAGCTATCGGTCATGTCGGCAAAATCCTCGATTGCGCAAGTGCTGCAAGCACCGCTGAGTCGGTACGCTAATGTTTTGATTGGCTGAGTGACATGAGAATTGCGCTACCATCGGAAGTGCATCAAAACACCTGCTTGCCGGCTCGCTATACCTTCTCCGACGTATCTATGCGCAGCACTTTATTCTGCTAGAATTCTGCTCGAGGCCCTGCATCGCGGAGGATAAACAACCCGGGAGCTAGCCTGCATCTAATTTTGGAAGTTGCCGAACGCACCACGAATGGCATATCGTGACGAAAGTGCGGCTGTTTATCGTGAGCCACCAATATTTGTCTTTCAGGCGACCCATTCCACCTCGTCAAGATGAACCTGTATAGTATAAAACCATAACATATCGAGGTGACCTTTAATTGGCCCACTCAACTCACCTACGCCCTTTCCAGTTCCACGTTCCTGACAGGCCATGTCCAGGCATGCCTCTCATTGGCAAGTAGAGTAGTAGCAACTTCCCGTAGCTCCGCATCGCTTAATGCTTGTGTTCCGGACACTCGTTTGCAACGCTACCTACCTAGGTAGGTACACCAGAAAACCAGTACTAGCAAATATCAACAGCGCAGCCATCGCACCCTGCATGACACTCGTAATTGCGCCACTGCATATTGTTTCTTTCAAAAAGCGATGGCTATCTCTGAAGACGAATTCACGAAGCCGGCACAGTTGTCAATGCCCATCACTGCTGATGTGAGAGACTTTCGCTGTATCGGAGTGATGGTGAATCTAGCTTTGTCGTAATTGGTTATCGGGTAAACACTAGATAAAAACGTACTTCCAGTTCGGGGCACCGTACAATTCTTTGGATCCAAGTAGCTTACGATAGGAACGTTCTCGAACCTGCGGTCTACCTTAATCCGCCCATTAGAGGTGATATAGGGTTCATCGAATAGGTGTCGCTCGTTGGGTATCGTGGCAGTAACGACATTGTTAGTGGTGATCGACAGGTGTCCGGTAAAGTTTCTGTCACCCATTAGCGCAAATGGCGGGCTTATGATGAGCACTAAACCTACGAAGTGTTCGGCTGTACTCTCGTCGCGCCGCAGAAAGACCTGCTGGATGGGCCATTGTTGATTATCGACAATTTAATTCTAGGCCAGCATACCTAGGTAGCATG